GTAAAAGTGGTATATATTGTGCTGGATATGCAACATTAACTCTTTTTGAAGTACTTGAAGTGGCACCTTTGCCTTTGGCTACTTTGGCTCAACAGGCTGAATTATACCCTCTAGGGCCTGAATTTTAGCCAAGGATAAAACTGACATTCACACTTACTCTTATATGCTTTTGGAGTGACTCATGATTTTGGAATGCTATGGAAAAAACAGGGCTTTACTTCTTGCAGAGATAAAATTCAAAAATGGTCCTTATGTCCAGGAATTATTAGATGGCATACTTTGGCTATCATCAAGGTTGCTGAGCATTCTAAATTTGACTCCCTGGAAGCTAAAGGAAACTACCTCATTGATATTTCTGTCACAAACATTGCTTTCATAGAGCCCAATAACCAAATTTCTATTATGGTCCTAAGGGATGTTTCCCCAAACATCTAGAAAAATTAACTAGAGATGCTTAATAATTGGCCCCAGAAAAAGAAAAACAAAATTGGAAGTCTAATAACTGTTAGTTAGATAAAAAAAAAACTCTGGTTTGGGCCAAATAACAATCTACTCTGCCGGAGACTCTTTTTTTTTTAGCTGAGCCATCCTGCCACCTGTTGGCAGCTCAGCGGCTGCTCAGCTCAGGCTGACTCGAACCGCTGTTGCTCAGAGCTCAAACTCTTAGAGTGAGCTCTTAACCAACTGAGCCACTCAGCCGGCCCTCTGCTGGAGACTCTAAAATTCCCACTATTGACTACTGTACATGCATTAAATCATTGGTGTGTTGATAAAATGATAACATTTGTGAATGAATTCTGATGGAGAAATGTTAATAAGCCTTCAAAAATGTGCCTACTTTGCTTACCTCACCTGCCAAAAATAAGTTTTGGGAGACCTGTCCATACCACCTCTGGACAGTTTAAATTACACAATGAACCATTCGAAGTTTGGCAAAAAGATTTCATACAGCTACTCCCATCTTACAGATATAACTATGTTTCACTCATGGTTCATACGTTTTCTGACTGGACTGAAGCTTTCCCTTGTAAGGAGAAGCTTCTTCTGTGGCTAAAATTCTGCTAGAGAAGATCATCCATACCTGGGGAACGGTTTGCCCCCTTGCAAATTTTATAGTGATCCGGAAACTCATTTCACCAGTCAGCTTATTTGACAGGTCTGTGCTATTTGGCCGGTTTTACAACACTCTCAATCCTCAGGAATAGTCGAATGCACTAATGGTATCCTTAAGACTCAACTGGCAAATTTGTAGACAGCCTTTAAATACTCTGGCCAAAGGCATTGCCACTAGATCTTTTAAATCTCAGGTCTATCCCTTTTGGGAACCATAAACTCTCACCCACTGAAATAATCTCAGGCCAATGCAACTGACTACTGCTTCTTGTGATCCACAGCTAATAAAAGGGATATACTTCAATACTGCAAAAGTCTAAGTACTTTTGTTGAAAACAACCACACTTTAGTAGAACAATCTTTCCACAGCATGCTCCTGGGAGTCAAAGACCTCAAGCATCATTTCTTACAATCCATAGATTTTATCTATTGGAATACACATCTCTGGAAAGATTCTGTTCAACCACATTTGAAAGGCCCCTATCAGGTTCTGTTTAATCAACCCTTATGCTTTCAAACTTCAGGCAGAGTCTTGAATTTATGTGTCACATCTAAAGGAAGCACCAAACCATGATTGGGCCTGCACACCAACTTGTGACCTAACAATAAAGATTTCCAGGAATTGAAGCAGATGACAACTGACATCTGTCCCAATTCATTCTTACTTTCTCTTCATACTCTTTCTTGGAACGAAAATACCCTTATCTGCATTTCCCAATCCTTTGCAAAAGGGGGAAACCTTTCTGAATATTTGATGTGTCATCAAAAATTTTGATGTGTATAGAGATCCAAGATGGTGGAGTAGATAAACACTGTGCCTGCTTCCTTCCATGATCACATTAAAATTACAACTAAGTTATAAAGAAAAGTCAACCTGGAGAATCATCTGAAGTCTAGCTGAACAGAAGTTTTATTGTTGCGGGGAACCCAGACGAAGAGACAGGACACCAAGGCGTGGGAAGCAACTTTATTAATGCCAGCACTGGTTCAGTGGATTCACATCCAGAGGCTGAGCCCCGACCCTGGTGGGACTTGGGGCTATATACCCTGAAGTTTCCAGTTTGGCAGCTAAGATATTTTATTAGAACATGTGGTCATTGTGCCAGTTCCTGACTGGCTCCTGGGTGAGGTAGGAATTTAGAAATATTAAACACAGAAGTCTTGATAACCATACAGTCCAGGAATGTCTTTGTCTGAAGCCCGCGCGAAATCCTTAGTGACCACATGGTCTGGGAAGGCCTTTGTCTAGGGCCCACTGCCACATTATAACTAAAGATATAAAGAAAAAGCCACTTGTCGTTATCCATGTAGTCTGCCTGAGACTCTAGAATTTGCCATTATCCATCAGTGTGTCCTAATAAAATGATAAATATATGTCAATAGCAGTTCACCAATGGCCAGGTGTAATTGGGTTGGACAGTTGTGAAAAACATATGATAATATTTACTAAAATAATATTTGTAAGGTTAGCTAATTATACAATAACACTAAGTGGGGAGAGTGTATTAGTTTCCTATTGCTGCATAACAAATTATCCCCAAACCTAGTGGCTTAATATAGTAAGCATTTGTTCTCATTTCCCTTGGGTCAGGAATCTGGGCATTCCTCAGCTGGGTTCCTCTGCCTCAAGCTCTCTAGCAGAGTGGCCATCAAGGTGTGGACCAAGACTACAGTGTCATCTGAAGACTTGAGGATCACTCCCATGATTGTTGACAGGTCTCAGTTCTAGTTGGCTGTTGAACTGAGTGCCCCAGTTCCTGAAAGGTTGTTAGCCAGAGGTTAATCTCAGTTCCTTGCCATGTGGGCTTCTCTATAGGGCAGCTCTCAGTGTGGCAGTTGGCTTCTCTCAAAGGTTGCAAGAGAACACTGAAGATAGAACCCAGTCTTATTAAAACATAATCTTAGAAGTTATATTCCAGTACTCCTGATTAGTTTTATTCATTTGAAGTTAGTTAGTAAAAGTCAGTCCACACAAAAGGCAAAGGGGTTATAAAAAAACAAGGGCATGAACATCAGGAGGTGATTACTGGGAGACATCTTAAAGGCTGCCTACCACAGAGACTGAAACAACTATTCAAATAATGCTATATAGTGTCACTTCATATTAGGGGACATACCTGGGACTACCTGCGAAGAAAAAGCAGCTGACACTTCAAATTCAGAAATTAAGAATAAGGTCTTTCTTTTCCCAAAGCTTCTTATATGTTAAGAGATAGGGTAAGTGTTCAGGACTGAAAGGACTAAGAATCCCTACCTCAGATGTAATTACCCTTCTCTGTGCATAACAATTACCACTAAAAGTTAAAGCTTCAGACTGTTGAGTACTGCTAAAGCAGCATCAGCATCTACTATCATTGTGAAGAACACTAGGAATGAAAAGAATATTGACTTTGGAGTCAGAACTTTGTTAAAATCTCAGCTGTTTTGTAACTGTTGGTATATGTGCTCTTAGGAAAGTCATTAAAGTTCTTTGAGGTTTAGTTTCATATAAAATGTAGATGATAGTATCAAATGCTACTATCTATATTTGTGAAGCAGCTATTGGCAACCATGATAGTTACATAGTAACCTTCTGCTCTGTTGCTAGAGTGTAACTAAGGATGTAAAATTTTTGCTTTTTTCAATGACGTAATTCTTCTGAATTAGAAATTTTATTTTATACTCTTTGAAACTGAGGCAGGATAGCTTAGGAAATTGACATCCCCCTCCAGGTTACAATATGAGGTGCCTCACTGGTTACATAAGAAACAGTGACTGTGTCCAGTACCTGTAGCTGGAGAAAAAAAAGAGCCAGTTTCATCCAGATAAGCTGATCCATCTATGACCAGGACCTGAACTTTAGCTAATTATAATGTTATTATAATCTCATTTACACTGTGGTTACTACGACTCCCATCATGTCCAATGCCATAACAGTTCTGGAGGAACCACCTAAGGAAGAAAAAGCTGGAAATGGAGGGTCCCGCCCAGGGAGAGGAGATGAATGAACCACAGGGATGGGACATCACTAATACCCACCGTAGGAGGGATAAATACCCCTGATGGTGACTTCCTAGGGGCAACTTGTTCTCTGAGTTCACCTGCACTTTCCTCTCAAGTGTGTACTTTCATTTTCAATAAATCACTTTCTCTTTCCTGCATCTGTTTTGCTCTTGTATTATTTCTTGCATGGAGATAAGAACCCAGTCACCACTACTCCAGGTTCAGTTCTGTCTTGGACATCTCAGTGATCGTTTGGTGACAAAACAACTTTTAGACTTAAACACAGTGTTTAATTCACTATTATGCATATCTCAAAAGTAAAATATGAATAATGAAATAGGTTGGTTTAATTCTTAAGCTTCTTGAAATTTTTTGTCCAATTTTATTGAATCATTTTTCAACACACAACTGTCAACGCCCATATTTTGTTATGACTTTTATAATATATACATACATATTTTGTAAAACGCATCAAAGGTTTGAAAACCAGCGCGTATTCTCTTACAGAACATCTCTACGCATGCGCTTGCAGCACAGGCCACTGAGGTATTGGGGTTCAAAGCCCCACACCATCGCACATGACTTTTAATATTTTCTCTTTGTCTCTTGCTCTACATTATGGTGACTGATTCAACTTTGTCTCCCAACGCTTCCAACGAACTTTTCCTTTAACGCTTTCTTTTGAATTAATTGTAGAGTCTCAGAAAGTTGCCCAAGCAGTGGCAAGAGCCCTTGGCTCAGGTAGCTAAATAGCCCGTCACCGGGGGCGGAGTCCATGGTTATGCGATAAAGAAATCTGCGAGACTGGCGGGTCAGCGCGTTTCCGGAAGTGACGCATTACGTCGCCGTGCGTACAAACGGCTGCGTCGGACTGCAGGAGAAGATGGCGGTCTCCACAGGTCGGTTCCCGGGCCGGGCTGTGTGCTTTCCCACTCCGACCGGGCTCTGACCCTTTCGCCTGCTGCTGGCAGCCGGGCGCTGACCGTGTGGGTGAAGCTGGAGTGCGCTTTCTCGGACGCTGGGCTTCTGGCCGAACGAAGCCCGGGACCGGGGAGAGTTCGGGCATGACCGGTGCGGAGGGCCCGGAGCGGCCGTCGGGGGCAGCGGGTCGTGCTCGCTCATCGGCCGCGCGCCCGCGGGCTGGAGGCGGGGTGACGCCGGCGCGGGCGCACTCGTAGGGTCTAGAGGGTGCCTGTCTTGTTGAGTGGAATGCTGTGTGGGAGGGAGGCGAGAAGGCCCAAGGTGTGCGGGTGTCAACCTCCCGCACGCAAGGTGGGGTCTGGTTAAGGACAGTACTGGGTCGAGTGGGGGTCCTCCCGGTCCCTTGGAATCGCCTTAACATGGGTGCAGGAGGAGAGGACTAATGAGAAAAAGACTGCTGCTCTTTGAAATAACGGGGAGATGATCATTCGTACCTGACTGAATACGTGTTATCTTTTTTTCGTTTAACTGAAAAACTGCAGTGCAAACAAAAAAAGCTCAGAACAAGTTGAAAACTAATTGAAGAAAACGTGGTTTCTTAGATAGCTGTTTAACTCTGTCGTACTGAATATGATGTTTGGTTTCCTATGAGCACAGAGTTTGAAATTAAGTTTTAAAGCTAAAGTTTTAAGAGATTTTAACATTAAAAAAGTGTTAAATTGAAAAGGAAATTGTACTACTTGAAAATGTTAATGCGTATGATCTTTTGAAACAGGATTATAGAACAGTGATTTAATATTTCATGCCATCATTGGGTTGTAAAACGAATTTTCAAATCTGTGCTAAAATGGAAGGCTTCAGTGTCTATTGTGATTGGTACTTTTAAGGTAATACTTCAGGATACATTCTACTCACATTTTAACGAAAGATTGTGTCTTAAATCGCATATTTATTATGTTATAGGTGTCAGATAAGATCTTTAACGATTTTAGCGTCGGGGGAATATTTCAGTGTACTTGGGGTCATAGCTAACTAATAAAACAAGGATTATTTAAAAAGTGACGTTTTAGTGTTAACAGCTTTAATTACTGTACCTGATATTTGAAATCGAGTGTCGTATTTTTCTTTTTTAAGATTTTATTGGGGAATTGGGGGAGGGGAACAGACAAGTTGCTGTCCTTTTGTTCTTCAGTCTTGTGGAGGGGGCTGTATTTTTTTTTTAACAAGGTGTATTTAATATCTATAGGTTCTTGAAAATTTAGTAATAAAATGGTGCATTTAATTTGATTGTTTTTATTTTATGGCTTGCATTGATTATTTAAACATGATTTTTTTCTAACATTATACATGTGAGAGGGTGAAAATATTTTGAAAAGGCCAAATATTAGATGACATTAATGGCAGATACTTTTTGTTAACCACGTTTAGTCACTTTTGGATGTCAAATAAAAATTATGAAGAAGTTGCTGATAAATTATTAGCATATTATACATTGGGAGCCTGCATTTTCTATAGTTTATATTTCTGTAGTATGTATAGTTTTTCTATAGTTTATATTCAGCATTCTAATTGTTACAGTTTTATTCTGTTTTTAGATTTATGAAATTAGAAACCTTAGCATAATTAAAAAGAATGTATTTTAGGCAGCTAAGTTGAGCTTTCTTTCTTTCTTGCTTTTTTTTTTTAAGCTTTATTCGGGAACAGTGTATTTTTTTCCAGGACCCATCAGCTCCAAGTCAAGTCGTTTTCAATTTAGTTGTGGAGGGCGCAGCTCACTGACCCATGTTGGAATTGAACCGGCAACCTTGGTGTTTAGAGCCAGCTCTCTAACCACCTGAGCTGACTGGCCGCCCCCAGTTAGTTGAACTTTCTTAAAGAGCTGAAATTTGTTTTGAAATTTGCTAAACAGTTGCCCTGGTCAATTTAATATTATTTCATTTATCCATATTCTGTGCTTCATGTCATTGACAGTATTGTTGAATTGGGAGAGGGATGAGTGCGCAGAAGCAGCTTTGGGATATGTTTTGAAACTATTTTTAAATTATACTTTTTATTAGTTAAACTTAGAATTGTTTGCCTCTCAGTGGCATGGGAGGTAAACAGTACTTGTATATTTGTGAAATAAACGTGATATAGCTTGTAATTTAAAATTAGATGAGCTAGATGGATGTAATATATGTTTTTTATTTAAGTCAAAATAATCTCAATAAAAATAGTTGATAACAGGCCCCAAAGGAAAAAAAAACCTGACAATTGTTTTTTGATCTTTATTAAAGCATTATATTTTAATGTGCATTATCTAAATCATATATTTTACCCTTTCTTGTACTAGAAGAAAAATGTTTGGAAAAAATTCTAATTATACTGAGACCTTTAAGCTGAAACATTCTTTTCCATTCCAGTTGGTCCTCTTATTTTGCAGATGAGAAAACTGATGCTTGAAGAAATAAAAGGTTTGGACCGGCCGAGTGGCTCAGTTGGTTAAGAGTTGGCTTAAGAGCGTGAGCTCTGAGCAACAGGGCCACTAGAAGAGTTGGCTTAAGAGCACGAGCTCTGAGCAACAGGGCTGCCAGTTCAATTCCCACATAGGCCAGTGACGCTGCGTCCTAGCTGAGCTGCTGCTGAGCTGCCAACAGGTGGTAGGATGGCTCAGCTGGTGTAACAACAAGATTGCCTGTTTGATGGTGGGCTATGTCCACCTGCAACTAAGATTGAATACAGCACCTTGAGCTTAGAAGCCACGAGCTGCCGATGGGCAGCCAGATGGCGACTGGCGCCCTCCACAACGAAGATTGAAGAACAACTTGGCTGGTCCTCTTTCCCAGTTCCCCAACACACTTCCCCGCCCCTAATTCTTCAATTAAAAAAAAAAAGAAAAATAGGAAAAAAAAAAGGTTTTACATAGTTGGTTACTAGCAGAGTTAAGATTAGAATTCAGTTTTTGTTTTGTTTTTTAACCCTCCGTCTAGTGCTCTGTTATGAGAAAATATGAACTTGGAATATTCCTCAAATCATGAATCATACTTCCTTTTAGGCTAGAGAGTGACTTTCATTTCCTAGCAGAATTCTTATTTCAAACTCTTAGATGCTTACGGATGTATGTAGGGCTGTGGTGGAGACCTTACTCTTTTTCAAGAAGCAGAGTCACCTCGGGGGGTCAAGAAGATTCCATGGGACATAGCTTTTTAGAAAGCCATGGGAAAAGCTACTCTAGGGAATAGAAACTAGTACATTGAGTACCTGTGATTCATAAATTTTATTGTGTACTAGTGCTGGTGAAAAATTAGTGTTAGAAAAAAAGTACGTGCAATACTTTTTTAAAAAGATTTTTATTGGGGAATTGGGGGAATTGGGGGATGGGAACAGCGCTGGGGAATTCGGGGAAGGGAAACAGACAAGTTGCTGTCCTTTTGTTCTTCAGTCTAGTTGAGGACGTTGCTTCACTGGCCCAAGTTGGCACCATCATTGCGCTCTTCCCGGGCAAGGCAGATCAGTCGCTGGCTTTTGGATGGCCGGTCACGGTGGCTTGAGGTCCGCTTACGCTGGCTGCTGGCTAAACATGGTAGCCCATGGCAACCGACTGCAGCAGGGGCTGCAGCCTATGCCGTCGCTGCGACTCACGGCATCTCAATTCCAGGTTGAGCTGTTCAGCATCTTAGCTGTAGAGGGCAGTGTCACTGGCCCTCATATGTGGGATCCGAACCGGGGCCCTCTGGCGTCCCAAGCCAGCTCTTAACCAAGGCGCCACTCGGCTGGCCCCGTGCAATACTTTTTTAAAGAAAACTTCTTATTCTAGAATAGTTTTCAATTTACAGAAAAATTGTGAATATAGTAGAGTTCCCCTATACCTCATATTCATTTTCTCCCTTTAATGTCTTACATTAATGTGGTATATTTGTCACAATTAATGAACCAATGTTGACACATTATTAACTGAAGTTCACACTATATTCAGATTTCCTTAGTTTTTACCTCATGTCCCTTTTTTGTCCCAGGATCCCATTCAGGATATGTTGCAATGTGAAATGTTAAAAATTGCTATTAAGTTATACTAGTGTTACATTGGGGCTCTGAATGTACATGATTGTAAAATGTCTTTACTGACAGATCCAGAAAAAAATGGAATATTTTTTCCCCATAAGTCTTTGTGAGCCATATGGGTGGAAAACAAAGCCGAAATAAAACCTAATTGCCCTCTTCAGAAGTGGGCATCGTTATGTATACTGGAACAAGAACTGTGTTTTAATTCTCCTGCTGCCCCTGATATATTACTGTGCTATGCTAGGCATGCCATTGAGTCTCTTAAGCCTTGCTTTCCCCATTCCTTCTATGCAAACATTAGACAACGTGATTTTGTTTTCCCCATCTTCAAGTTGAGGACACTTGTATATGGGAGGAACTTGGGAGTAGTAATAGAAGAGATCTGCATGTGTAAATCAGCATAGAATCTGGGAACTAAACAGTAGAAGAGCTGAACTGTAGTAGCTTAGTGTATTTCCTTCCTGAGACTACTTGTTGGCCTGGTAGATTTTTCTACGTCAGTGAGGAACCTGGGTGCCCTTGATATATGTTTGCTTTGATAATATGAAATAATACAACCTTACTATACAGGTAAGCCTTTGCACAGTAGTACAGGGAAGTAAAAGTGACCATTCAAACTGAAACTTCAATCTTATTGAGAAAAATTATGATTATTCTGTGGCATTTGAAAGTGTTTGCTAAACCATTAAAAACTCTTCTTGTGGTTACAAGTATATAGGAAAGTGAATAAAATAGTAAACTAATATTTGTTTAGTACATTAATTTAAACATTAGAGATATTAAGGATTAGAGTGTTTTATTTCTTTATAAAAAACTTGTCAAGAGTAGTTTGAACAATGCTTGCCTTTTGATTGTATAACTTAAGCTGCACAAGCATCTTTTCTATGCTTTGGTTAATTCTCATCCTCCTAAGTTTGGATCAGCTTCCAATGTTTTATCCTTTGTGCTTTCAATGTTAGGAAATCTCTCTGAGAGTTTCTTTACTGTGAAGTTTTTCACTTCCTCTGCGACCTTGTCATCCTTTCCTTATAGTCACTTTCCTCATTTACATCAATAAGCTCACCTTCACAAAGTTCCTTGGGCTACTCCGCTAGAGTCTCCTCAACATT